TTGATTTCTATCTTTTGAAAAAAATCTTTATCGTTCCCTTTTTTCCTCATTGACCTCTCCCAACCCTCTTGGGTCCCACCTCCCCACAGGACTTCACCAGCTTATTGTCTGTGTCCATCGGTTATGCGTATATGCATATGAGTTCACTAGTTGATCTCTTTCCACCTCACCCTTCCCTGCCTTTCCTCTGAGGTTTGACAGTCTATTCGATGATTCTGTGACTCTGGGTCTACTTTTGTTCATCAGTTTATGTTGTTCATTATATTCCACAAATGAGTGGAATCTTTTGATATTTATCTTTCTCTGACTGGCTTATTACACTTAGCATAATGCTCTCCAGATCCATCCATGCTGTTGCAAATGGTTAGAGTTCTTTCTTTTTTTACAGCTGTGTAGTATTCCATTGTATAGATGCATCACAGTTGTTGTTTTGTTTATTGTCTAAAGTTTTACATATGTCTCCTTTTTTCCCAATTGATCCACCTTCCCCCTAGCCATTCCCACCCTGGGCAAGCCCCCACCGCCCCAGTGTCTGTGTCCATTGGTTATGCTAATATGTATGCATACAAGTCCTTTGCATTGGTTATGCTAATATGCATGCATACAAGTCCTTTGGTTAAAGTAAACTGGATAAAAAAAAAGTATACTGGTGAAAATCCTTAAATCGTGCTGGTCTTTTCAATTCCTGTTCCATCTTGGGTATCTGGGGTTCTGTGCTGTCATTTCCTAAGTCTGTCATGCCCTGCATGAACTCTTGTTTGGACAACTTGCACTGTGTTGCTGCTCTGAACTTCCACGCAATGATCATCACAGAACTGCTGTACGTCATCTATTCTGATTTTATTTTCACCTTGAGGATCATTGTATCTAGTGCATAGATGTTCTAACTTCTTCCTGTCCAATGATCCTTTTACACTGATCAAATATATATGGTTCAGGATTTGGGGAAAAAAGTGGTCTGTTAGAATATCTAACTTCCAGTCATTTTGAGACAGGAAACTTACTGCTGGTTTTTCACTAGGTTGTGTGAAGATCATAAAGTAAGCATGGGTATCCTTCTGCAACAACTTAACCTTGATCATGGTGTGTCCTCCAGGCCTCTTCCCTCCTCCTCCAGCTCCAGGGTGAATGGAGGTTAGGTGGCTCCTCTCCCAGGCTCCTGGGCTTTAGTTCATGCACAGTGTGGGGAAGCCCTTGGCACAGCTGAAGAAGCGGCCCTGGGCCTGGGAGAGGCAGAGGGTTGGGGGCAGATGTCAGGAGCCCCTCATGACCTTTCTCCTGGGGGCGTGGTCCTCTCAGGCAGGTGTGATTCATCCTTTGATTATACAGATTGAAGATATTCCTAAGTGTAAAGATATTCCTGAGTATATATATATATATATATGATATTTAGATTGTTCTCTCACTGTCCCTTTGGTGGATTTGAAAAAAAATTTAGAAAAGGGGAGATATTTAATTTAGAGCACTTAGAAGGAGTCACATTTGTATGAAACACATTGAAAAATTTCAAACAGAAACAGGAAAATAGTTCAGAAAAACACACATAAAACAATTCGTGTAATTCTTCACCCAGATGAATAAGGAAACTGATACATGGACATCATATTCCACACTTTATTTTTTTATTTTTACTATTATTTTATTATTGATTTTTAGAGAGAGAGGAAGGGAGACATAGATACAGCAGTAGATATAGGTAAGTAAATGATAGATAAGAGATAGATAGATAGATAGACAGATAGATAGATAGATGATAGATAGATAGGGACAGAGGCATTGATGTGAGAGAGAAACATTGATGGACTGCCTCCTGAATGCACCCCACCTGGGATGGAAACCACAACCTAGGTATATGCTCTGACCTGGAATCAAACACACAACACTTTTTGGTGTACAGGAAGATGCTCCAACCAAGTGAGCCATTGGCCAGGTCAATATTCCACACTTTAGTCACGTGCAGCATGAAAAATATTTTTGAAGAGTGATAAATTGTATGACTGCTTTTTGCTTTATCATATTTAAGGTCATCTCTGACTCTAACCTTATTAGATCACTCTATTTATTAAAATGTATGGATCCATGGGGACGCTTCTTGGAAACATGTATTGGGTAGTCAATTTTTGCCAGTGGCTAAGATAGGCATATGGACACACAGTTGAATAACAGAATGAAGTCTATAAAACCAGGAGACCAGCTATAAAACATACTAGCATGTGAAAGTCTACATTATCAAGAAGAGTTGTGCAGTTAGTGCTATAAAAAATAATGGTGAACATGTAAGTGAAAACTGTGGTCTCAGATGTTCTTCTACAATAAAATTATATAAATGACTAGTAGCCAAGTATAGTTTTGTCCTTAGGGGTAGTACAGTTCATGACTATTCTTTCAGGAAAACAATATAAAAATTACTTGGAATGATATATGTCATAAGAGAAGAAATTATGCTAAAGTAATTCATGTTAACCCATGAAATAAATAAATATTTCCAATTTGTTATGGTCCAAACATTGGATTAATTTGTGTCAGACTTCTCTCTCTGAGGCTAGAAACCTGTATTCCTGGGCAATTCTTCAACCTAGTACAGTTGGCTCTTGAAAAGCTTACCTACCAAGGAATCTTTGCAGGGCCCTCTTTATGTCATTGTTCCTCAGACTGTAGATGAAAGGATTCAGCATGGGTGTGACCACTGTGTACATCACCGAGGCTGTTGCACTTGAGTGTGCATTTTGGGTAGCAGTAAAGCTGAGGTAAACTCCAAGGCTAGTACTGTAAAATAAGGAGACAACTGAGAGGTGAGATGCACAGGTAGAAAAGGCTTTATACTTCCCCTGAGCTGATGGGATTCCACATATGGAAGAAAGTATCTTAGAGTAAGAGTAAAGGATCCCAGCAAAGGGACCACCACCTAGAAGTCCAGCTGAAAAATACATTATAATGTTGTTAAGAAAGGTGTCAGAACAGGCAATGTGGACCACCTGACTGAGTTCACAGAAAAAGTGGGGGATTTTCAAGTCTGAGCAGAAGCGCAGACCCAACACCATTAAGCTATTTAGCAAGGAATTCAGGACACTCATGATCCAGGACACCAGAACCAGCAGTCCACAGAGCTGGGGATTCATGATGACCATGTAGTGCAGGGGGTGGCAGATGGCCACAAACCGGTCATAGGCCATCACAGTCAGGATCATGTTGTCCAACATTGCAAAAAGTATATAAAAATACATCTGTGTGATGCAGCCTTGATAGGTAATGACTTTGCTCTGTGTCTGGATGTTCCATAGCATCTTTGGGATGGTGGTGGAGGTGAAACAGATGTCTACCAAGGACAGGTTGGAGAGGAAGAAGTACATGGGTGTGTGGAGGTGGGAGTCTGAGCTGACGGCCAGGATGATGAGCAGGTTTCCCAACACAGTGACCAGGTACATGGAGAGGAAAAGTCCAAATATGAGGGGCTGCAGTTCCAGTGTCTGTGAAAGTCCCAGGAGAAGAAATTCTGAAATTTGTGTACCATTGCCTGGTTCCATGTGTTGGAGGTGACTAAAAAAAAAAGTATAATTAATTTTCACATTAGTATGCATTACTGAGAATAAATGACACATTTATATTTTAGAGTCAGGAAAATAATCTCCATTTTTGTTGTGTGATCTGGTCCCCGTTAATGTATCTCTATTGGCATTCCTCATTAGAATTTCCTTTTCTAACAGGAACCTGTTCTTCAAAGGTAATGTATACTGCTGTTTTACTGAGGATATCTTTCATGCATTTGAGAAATATTTATTGACTATAGACCATGTTCTAGGCACTCTTCAGAGTATAGGACTCTGAAAAACAAAAATTTACAAACTAATGATGGAGCAATAATATAATCAAATAAAATGATAAATAATATATCTATATTAATATATCTGATGGTGGAGATGCTATAAAGTAAAGTAAATAACATTATATGAAGAGAGTGGATGGAGGGTGTTCTTTTTTTATAGAGTTTAGCCAAGTCTTACCAATGGCTGACACTTTAACACACACCTGAATGAGGACTGAGGAGAGACTAAGTTGGAGAGCGTTTTCCAGGGAGAAGGAACAGCCAGTACAAAGGCCTGAAGAAGATGGTTGTTTTAGAAAATGAAGGCTCGGGAGTTTATAGATAGCAGCATGTGGGAGGATTATTCTTGCAGCTTCTCCCAGAACCAAACTTGCAATAAAACTAAATTAGGGAATATTCACCCTGAATTACCAACTGAAGACTAGCTGAAGAGGAAACTATTAAAGAAGGAAGGGCAGAAACCACCTCGAGAGTGATAGGGAGGTTGTGGTTTGGGGAGGGGCTGGCACCACTCCCACAGGGCAGGCCAAGTTGAGGAGGGATATCTCAGCTGTGGGGGTTTCCCCCTGAGAGTAGTGAGGCCCATATACCAGGCTGGGCTCTCAAGCTTCCCGGGCCAGAGCCAGGAACACCTACCCACAGAGCTTCCATCAGTGAAAAGCAGCAGGGCTTCTACCAGCAAGGGACAATAGAGCCTGCTGGAGATAAAGCAATTTTGTTTTTATTTACTTATATATTTTTATTTTTAAAATATTTATTATTGAAAGTATTACATATGCTCCCTTGTTTCCCCCATTGACCTCTTCCAGCTTGCTCCTTGTCCTCCAGTCCAGACCTTCATCACCCTATTCTCTGTGTCCATGGGTTATGCATATCTACACTAATAAAAGAGAAACATGCAAATTGGTTGTCACTCCACTGTGCCCACTAGCCAATTAAGAGTGACTATGCAAATTAACCCAACAAAGATGGTGGGTTAATTTGCATATGCAGGCGTGGAGCAAAGACTGAAGACTGAAAATGACTGAAGACTGAAGAGGCTTGACTTCTAGGCTGTGGCTGGAGTGGAGAAGCCTCCAGGCTTGGCTTCTCCAGTGCAGCCAGAGCAAAGGCCTGGGTCTCGAGTGCTGGAGGAAAACTGGTGCCGACTGTCAGGGGAAGGAAGGCCTATTGCAAGAATCTCTTCATGCAATGGGCCTCTAGTATGCATATAAATTCTTTGGTCTCTTCCCACTCACTCACCCTCCCCTACCTTCCCTCTGAGGTTCAAAAGTCTGTTCCATTCTTCTATGTCTCTGGATCAGTTTTGTTTGTCAGTTTCTTTTGTTCATTAGATTCCACATGTGAGTGAGGTCATGTGATACTTGTCTTTCTCTCACTGGCTTATTTCACTTAGCATAGTACTTTCCATATCCATCCACGTGATTGCCAATGGTAAGAGTTCTTTCCTTTTTATAGCTGCATAGTATTCTATTGTGTAAATGTAGCACAGCTTTTTTTATCCACTCATGTACCGATAGGCACTTGGGCTGTTTCTGAATCTTAGCTATTGTAAATAGCACTGCTGTGAACATAGGGGTGCATATATTCTTTCTGATTGGTATTTCTGATTTCCTAGGATATATTCTCAGGAGTGGGATCACTGGGTCAAATGGGAGTTGCATTTTTAATTTTTTGAGGATATTCCACACTGTTTTCCACAGAGGAAGCTACGTTGTTTTTTAAAGAGTCAGATCACAGAATTTTAGTTCACAGCCACTCACCCTGGCTTCAGTGGAGTGGGGTGGTGCAGACTGGAGTCGCCTGAGAACAATCTGGGGTTAGAAGCATTGGGGAGAGACATGGAGAGTAGCTTCCAAGATACCTGTGCTCAGTCATCCTCCGCAACTCTGCAACAGCCATTTTTCCTGAGAGGTTCAAGCCTCTCCCCTTAGCTGTAGAAGCCCAACCTACAGGCCTGGTCAGACTCAGGAAGCATCAGTGACTGGCTTTGGGGTGAGGCCATTCTCCAAACTTTCCTGGGAACCTGACTGGCACCTCCCTCTCATTGGAGAGCTGATAGAAATTACTGACTTCCAGCAGATCCCACTGTCCTGCCTATGAGTGGATTTGCCCTGCAAGGTTAGGGAAATACAGTCTAACCTGGGTTCTCAAATGTGTCCCAACGTGAACAATTCAGTTCTTGACCAAGTTGTTCAGAGCAACCATGTCTTGAGTGTCAAACAAACTTTGTGCATGATCAAAAGAGTCTTGCAAGACACAAACAAAGGAAAGAATGAGAGTCAAGTATACAGTGCTGTGAATATTTTCACGTAGGTTTTTTTTCCTGTTGTTTGTTTTGCTTTTGTTGTTGGTGAAATGGATGATTAGCGCAATTTTAAAACCTAAAGAGGCCATCAGATGTGCTGATGTTGCTAAGGGCATGAAAGTGCTCACAAAACAAAGACCATAGGCAATTGAAGAGGTACAAAAACTGTTGTTGATTTGGATAAAGAAAAGCAGTTAGCCTGTGACAGCATTTTGGAGGCAATGATATGTGAAAAAGTGAATATTGCACCCCTGGACTGAGTGATAAAAGTGATTCATTTAAGGCTAGTAAGGGGTGGTTCAATAAATTAAGAAAAGAAGTGTTTGTTTCTAGATTATACAGTACTGTAGAAATGGACTCTGTATAATATGGTTAAAACAGGAAATCATTTGGGGATCTGGAACAAAGTAATTTGGTTTACATCATTTCTAATGGAGAAAAAATGGTTTGGTTTTAAAACAATTATCTTGTCAAACAGCCTTCTGGAATAAATTAAGTTTGAGAACCATGGTTACACTGTATTCTGGGAGAGTCTCAGGTGTGTGGCTCTGGGATAGAGGAACACACCCAACATCTTCCCTGAAGTCTGAATGGCACCCCCCCTCATGGGAGATACAGAGGTCCCATCTTCCTGATTTTGCCAAAAGCCCTTTCAGAAACAGTTTTTTCAGTGACTAAATCTGATAGCAAGTGGGGATTAATAGGTGGACAAGGTGGACCCCAAAGTGCCTTGGGATGTTTGCTGACCCACCTTTGAGGCCCACACTGCTATAAAGCTGACCTTGGAGAGCAGCCTGGTCCCTCTGCAGTTAAGCTCAGTGGAGGCAGCCACAAAGGGGGATCACTTCAAGCTTCAAATAGGTTGCCGAGAACCAAATGTGGGCAGCTTCTAACATTGGCTAGCACCAAAGTCCCTACCAGGAGGTCTCGAGTCAACATACAGAATAGTCAGCCTCAGACAAAAATAAGAGAAGGATACACTAAACTCTGCCTAGATGAACTCCACTTTGTTTTTTTATTTCATTATTTTCTTTTTATTGATTTGTTATTATTTTCTCTCTCTCTCTCTTTTTTTCACATCTCTTATTTTTCTCTTTCTTTTTGGTTCTATTTTCTTTCTTTCACTTATTTTTCCTTCTTTTCTTTTTCACTGTTTTTCTTCTTATTCTTTATTCTTATTTTTCCTCTCCCTTCTTTCCTTTCATGTTCTCCCCCCCCCCCCATTTTTTTCTTATTGTATTCTTATAATTTTCTTCGTTTATAATTCTTGTTCACCTTTCTCTTTCTTTTGTAGTTGTTTTTGTTCTTGGGCTCCTTTGTATGTTTTTGTTTTCTTTCTGGTTTTGTTTGATCAGCACCTATAAAACAGCTCACACAATGTGGTTGGGGTTGAGCCTCACAGTCAGGCATTCTGAGGATGGATCTTACCCACAAATGGCCCAACAACAATCAAGACCTAGTTACACAGAAGAGCCCCCAAAACACACACACATAAGGGATATTTCTATAGCATCCAATTCAGGAGATAAAAGAGGCTGCACCACTGGGCCCTACAGGACACTTCCCTTGAAAGACCACCCCATGAAGACTGGGAATCATAGCATTTCTATCTAGTACATAGAAATAAACACAAAGAAACAGCTTATGGAGAAAAGACACAATCCCCAAATGAAATAAAAGGAGGAATCTCCAGAAAAAGAGCTAAATAATTTATCAGACATAGAGTTCAAAGTAATAGTTATAAAGATGCGCAAGGAACTTAGTGAAAACTATAAGGAACATAATGGGAACTACAAGGAACTTAGTGGGAACTGCATCAGCATGAAAAAGGACATAGAAACCATGAATAAGAACCATTCAGAAATGAAGAATACTACCCGGTGAAAGAAATAGACTTACAAGTCCAAAAAGCACGAAAGTGCCAAACAATAGGAACCCAAAGAGGCCGACCCCAAGACACATCATAATTAAAATGGCAAGCTTTAAAGACAAAGAGAGATTCTTAAAAGCAGCAAAAGAAAAGCAGTTAGTTACCAGCAAGGGAGCACCCATATGACTGTCAGTTGAATTCTCAACAGAAAATTTGCTGGCCAGAAGGGAGTAACAAGAAATATTCAAAGTGATGAATAGCAAGGACCTACAACCAATATTATTCTACCCAGCAAAGCGATCATTTTTATTTTATTTTTTTAAAATATATTTTATTGATTTTTCACAGAGAAGAAGGGAGAGGGATAGAGAGCCAGAAACATTGATGAGAGAGATCGATCAGCCGCCTCCTGCAAGCCCCCCAGTGGGAATGTGCCCGCAACCAAGGTACATGCCCTTGACCGGAATCGAAACTGGGACCCCTGAGTCCGCAGGCCGATGCTCTATCCACTGAGCCAAACCGGTTCGGCAAAGAGATCATTTTTAATTGAAGATTGGAGAAAGAGCTTCACAGAAAAGAAAAAGCAAAAGGAGTTCATCACCACCAAACCAGTATTACATGAAATGTTGAAGGGTATTCTTTAAGAAGTGGAAGAAGAAGAGAAAAAAAAGATACAAAATATAAACAATAAAATGGCAATAAATACGTATCTATCAATAAGAATCTAAAAATAAAAACAACAAACATAGAATCTAAAAAAAACTGATGAATAAAATAGAAGCAGAGGTGCATGGGAACATGGAGCAGACTGACGAATCTTAGAGGGAAGGGAGGAGAAGGGAGGAGGAAGACATCAACTAAAGAACTTATATGCATGTATACCTTACCTTTAGACACAGACAGTAGGGTGGTGAAGGCTGGAGGCAGGGCAAGAACCCAGTGGAAGGTAGCAATGGGGGGAGGGGGTGATGGAAAGGAGGGCACCTGTAATACTCTCAACAATAAAGATTTAAAATAAAAGAAATGAAGAGCACCATATGCGACATTAAGAATACACTGAAAGGAATAAAAATTAAGCTGGATGAAGCAGAGAAACAAAAATAAAATAAATTTAAAATAATGAGGATAGTTTAAGGGAAATTTGGGAAAACTTCAAATGTAACAATATACACATCATAGAAGTAGAGAACAAAAGAAAGTGAAAAAAATATAAATCTAGTTTGAAGAAAAAATGATAGAATATTTCCATAACCTGTTAAAGGAAAAATTCACACACGTTCAGGAAGCGCAGAGTCTCAGTTAAGATGAACTCAAGAGAACCATGCAAAGACACATAATATTAAAATGGCAATGGTTCAAGACAGAGTAATAATCATAAAGGCAGCATGAGATAAACAGTTTGTTTCCTACAAAGGAGTTTCCATAAGGCTTTCAGCTGATTTCTCAACAGAAACACTGTGTCAAGAAGTGATTGGCATGACTTATTCAATGTAATGAAAAGTGAGGTTCTGAAATCAACACTACTCTATCCAGCAAGGCTTTCATTAAAAATCAATTATGAAATAAAGAGCTTCCCAGACCAAAAAAAAAAAAGGCTAAAGGAGTTTAACACCACCAAAAAGGCATTGCAAGAAATGTTAAAGGGACTATCTTAATAATGAGAAGAAATAGAGAACCACAGGCATAAAGAATTAATATGGCAATAAATTGGTACCTATCAATAATAACCTTTAGTGTAAATGAATGAAATGCTCAAATCAAAAGACATATGGTAGCTGAATGGGTAAGAAAACATGTCCCAAATATATGCTGTCTACAAGAGACTCAGCTGAGAAAAATATGACTCACACAGAATGAGATTGGTGGGATGAAAAAAGCAAATTTTCCATGCAAATGGAAGTGAAGATAAAGCCTCTAAATAATATTCATTATCTGACAAAATCGACTTCAAAATGAGGGCCATAACAACTGACAAGGAAGGTCACTATATAATACTAAAGGGATTGATACAA